GAAAATAAGTTAAAAATGTAATTTTTAAAAAATAACAAAAACAAAGAAAAACAGTTATCCACAGTTAACTCCGAGTGTAAAAACCATCAGAATGTAAAGAATGCATACTAGGAACACAATTCTAGAAGGGGAGGGGAATGGGAGGGGGGAAGGGAAGAGGGGAGGGAATGGGGAGGGGAAGGGAAGTGGAAGGGAAGTGGGAGAGGAAGGAGGAAGGCGAAGGGAAGGGGGAAGGAGGAGGGATAGGGAAGTGGGAGGGGGAAGGAAAGGGAAGTGGGAGGTGAAGGGGGAAGGGGAGGGTGAAGGAAAGAGAAGTGGGAGGTGAAGGGGGAAGGGAAAGAAAGGGAAGTGGGAGGTGAAGGGGGAAGGGGAGGGGGAAGGGGAAGGGGAGGGGGAGGGAAAGGGAAGAGGAGATAATAAAGTAACAAGTGCAAGAAAATTTCTTTAAACAGTTGAAGAATATTGGAGAGAAAACTCAGCAAGCTGAAGGTTCATGGATCACTTTGAAGTCACTTTTACTGTCGTCATACATACTCATATCATCTTTATTCTACCAATGTTCATGGTTATGAATATTTAATTACTGTATCCGTAATAAGTCTATGTACACATCTGTAAATGGTGGAGGCTATAGCAGCCCTGTCTTATGAATAACAATTATCATAGAATGAGGGCTAGGAAAAATTTCGAAAGATTAAGACAGGGATGAAGCTTTCTCACGAATACAACTATAGACATTTTTAAACGTTTATATAATTGGTTTGTGTCACAGTTTTTATGTTATATACAATGTACATATATAGGTATAACATGGAAGATGCTTCAAAAATAAATTTGGCAAGACTCTTTTGTTAAAAAGGCACAATATTAGTATATGATTACTTGTTTAATTAGCATATATCATTAGTACTTGTAGAAACTGTTGTATGTTTCAACACTTTCACTAGACATTCTTTGGTAATACTAACTGGTGTATAGTCATGGAAAGCTTTCCATCAACTGTCATATTAAATCAGAATGTAACATTAATGCTGGTTCGGTGAGATAAACTACAAACTATTCTACTGGTAAAACATGACCTACTGGTAAATAACACTCCAGTAAGATATATGTAGGATCTATTCTCCCAATAAACAGGATCAATTAGTCAATAAATCTGTCATGTATATAAAATTATCACATACGATTTTGATTCTGCTGAAATACTGAATAGTATTAAGGCTGTAAAAGTGTCCTTTGTAACCCAGGCAAGAACATTATACAAATATATAAATTCTAATATTTACAATACTAATATACATTTAAGTAGGTTACTTACAAAGAGTCCAAGTTGTCTCAAGCCTTAATGTAATACATTTTTGCAATATTAGTAATATTTTCTAATATAATCTACCAAAGATGATAAAACTGGAATACAGTTGGCACATTTAATTTGACATGCGCCAGCCCCCCTCACCCAACCCCTACCCCTACTATCTTGGACAGAGGCAGTAAAGAAAGCTGACCATCGTAATAAGAATAAGGTTATTTTAAACTCAAACACATTCTAGGTTAATTAACTTTTAAAGGCATTCATATTTAAATTTGGTCAACTATACAGATATCACAATTGAGAGAGAGAGAGAGAGAGAGAGAGAGAGAGAGAGAGAGAGAGAGAGAGAGAGAGAGAGAAAAAATTCAGATATACTTTAATATATGTGTTTTATAACTACAAAAAAATATATATCGCTTTAAAACAAGAACGCTAAAAAAATCAAATACCACTGAATATTGTTTGCAACAGAAAATTGTATGAATAATAAAAAAAAGTATCCTTACAAAATGATGTACAGTACATGTATGTAGCTATGAACCACTGCAGATAAAATGATATCAAACAATACAAGCATAGCTTAAATCCCTCATCAGACAATACAAACAGCTTAAATTCCTCATCAGACAATACAAACAGCTTAAATTCCTCATCTGGAATCACATGTAGATTGATTTGTGCTGTAACTTCCCTGACTCTTCAAAGCACTAATCGGATCTGATTTAAGCTGTTCATTAATAATCTTGAATGTCATCTAAACAAAACACAAAATCACAAAAAAGTATTATTCTATTCAGTCTTTAACAAATATTTCGGAACTCTTAACCAAATTTAACTATAATAGAATTACCAGTGAGCCCTAAACCCCGTAGAAAAAAAACCCCTTACATCCTTTTGTATAAATGAAGTTTTATTTGGAAGAAGTGTTAAGTTTTTCTCACTACCCTCGGTCTGTTTCATTACACAGGATTACACAGGTGTACCATTACCCTGGGGTCTGTTTCATTACACAGGTGTACCATTACCCTGGGGCCTGTTTCATTACCCTGGGGCCTGTTTCATTACCCTGGGGCCTGTTTCATTACCCTGGGCCTGTTTCATTACACAGGTGTACCATTACCCTGGGGCCTGTTTCATTACCCTGGGGCCTGTTTCATTACCCTGGGCCTGTTTCATTACACAGGTGTACCATTACCCTGGGGCCTGTTTCATTACCCTGGGGCCTGTTTCATTACCCTGGGCCTGTTTCAATACACAGGATTACACAGGTGTACCATTACCCTGGGGCCTGTTTCATTACCCTGGGCCTGTTTCATTACCCTGGGCCTGTTTCATTACACAGGATTACACAGGTGTACCATTACCCTGGGGCCTGTTTCATTACCCTGGGGCCTGTTTCATTACCCTGGGCCTGTTTCATTACACAGGATTACACAGGTGTACCATTACCCTGGGGCCTGTTTCATTACCCTGGGCCTGTTTCATTACACAGGATTACACAGGTGTACCATTACCCTGGGGCCTGTTTCATTACCCTGGGGCCTGTTTCATTACCCTGGGCCTGTTTCATTACACAGGTGTACCATTACCCTGGGGCCTGTTTCATTACCCTGGGGCCTGTTTCATTACCCTGGGCCTGTTTCATTACACAGGATTACACAGGTGTACCATTACCCTGGGGCCTGTTTCATTACCCTGGGCCTGTTTCATTACACAGGATTACACAGGTGTACCATTACCCTGGGGCCTGTTTCATTACCCTGGGCCTGTTTCATTACACAGGATTACACAGGTGTACCATTACCCTGGGGCCTGTTTCATTACCCTGGGGCCTGTTTCATTACCCTGGGCCTGTTTCATTACACAGGTGTACCATTACCCTGGGGCCTGTTTCATTACCCTGGGGCCTGTTTCATTACCCTGGGCCTGTTTCATTACACAGGATTACACAGGTGTACCATTACCCTGGGGCCTGTTTCATTACCCTGGGCCTGTTTCATTACACAGGATTACACAGGTGTACCATTACCCTGGGGCCTGTTTCATTACCCTGGGCCTGTTTCATTACACAGGATTACACAGGTGTACCATTACCCTGGGGCCTGTTTCATTACCCTGGGCCTGTTTCATTACACAGGATTACACAGGTGTACCATTACCCTGGGGCCTGTTTCATTACCCTGGGCCTGTTTCATTACACAGGATTACACAGGTGTACCATTACCCTGGGGCCTGTTTCATTACCCTGGGCCTGTTTCATTACACAGGATTACACAGGTGTACCATTACCCTGGGGCCTGTTTCATTACCCTGGGCCTGTTTCATTACACAGGTGTACCATTACCCTGGGGCCTGTTTCATTACCCTGGGCCTGTTTCATTACACAGGATTACACAGGTGTACCATTACCCTGGGGCCTGTTTCATTACCCTGGGCCTGTTTCATTACACAGGTGTACCATTACCCTGGGGCCTGTTTCATTACCCTGGGCCTGTTTCATTACACAGGATTACACAGGTGTACCATTACCCTGGGGCCTGTTTCATTACCCTGGGCCTGTTTCATTACACAGGATTACACAGGTGTACCATTACCCTGGGGTCTGTTTCATTACCCTGGGCCTGTTTCATTACACAGGTGTACCATTACCCTGGGGCCTGTTTCATTCCACAGGTGTACCATTACCCTGGGGCCTGTTTCATTACACAGGTGTACCATTACCCTGGACCCTGTTTCATTACACAGGTGTACCATTACCCTGGGGCCTGTTTCATTCCACAAGTGTACCATTACCCTGGGGCCTGTTTCATTACACAGGTGTACCATTAACCTGGACCCTGTTTCATTACACAGGTGTACCATTACCCTGGAGTCTGTTCCATTACCACAGGTCTATTTCATTACCCTAAGGCCTGTACCATTACCCTGGGGCCTGTTTCATTACCATGGAGTCTGTTTCATTACCCTGGGGCCTGTTCCATTACCACAGGGTCTATTTCATTACCCTGGGGACTGTTCCATTACCCTGGAGTCTGGTTCATTACCCTGAAGTCTGTTTCATTACCCTGGGGCCTGTTTCATTACTCTGGGCCTGTTTCATTACCCAGGAGTCTGTTTCATTACCACAGGGTCTATTTCATTACCCTGGGGCCTATTTCATTACCCTGGAGTCTGTTACATTACCCTGGGGCCTGTACCATTACCCTGGAGTCTGTTTTATTACCCTCTGGCCTGTTCCATTACCACAGGGTCTATTCCATTACCCTAGGCCTGTTTCATTACCCTGGGGTCTATTTCATTACCTCTGGTTCTGTTCCATTACCCTGGGGCGTTTTTTTTACTTCCCTGCAGTCTATATTGTTACCTTTCAATCTGCTTCATTATACTGAATAAGATTTTTCCTAGGTTTTGTAATACTATTGTGATTTAATGAACTGATTTTATTCTTATTTCAGACAACTTCTGCTCTTTCAATGAATTTTTACATCTTCCTCCTGATTATCTCATCTGCCAACTTTCACTACACCTTGATCAATGTTACATTATGTTCCCCCCATTAAACTACAACAACTTTTTCTTATTTCAATCAGCAAATTAAGTAAGAATCTATGTCTGAGAACAAATGGTGGTTTTATTTTTTGAGTATGTAACCATCTGCCGAGTACATGAGTATAACTTGCAGTGTGTTCCTCATCTCTTGTTTAGTACTTGCCAAGCTGCTCTATTTCATCTAAGAAACAATCACACATCTGAAAAAAAAACAAGTTAAATATAACTAGGTTTCTTTTTTAGGAGATAAGTTATGTAAGAGGAATAATGCTTCTAATACATACAAACTCATTTGTCAGAGGTCAAAAGTTACTTACAAAATTTGTGTTGGTATATAATTGTCAAATGTGAAATAAGATGCAGACATTAATCTGTTGCTTAAGTTGCTGTACATTCTTTTTTGTCAGTTTTCCGGCATGAGTAAAGTAGCATAAACCACTCAAACCTTCATCAGTGATGGACATTATCTTAACGACAATATTCACTCTAACCACAGAATTGTCTTACATACATCAACACATCAATTTCACCCAGTCAAGTCTAAAATTAACCCAGTAGCCAGTCCAATATTCAAAGATACACATCAAAATGACATTATAAAGTCAACTTGGAGGAACATTCATTAGATGTTCCCGTTAGAAAATGATGGATGAGAACAAGTGGTAGAGAAACCAATGACCAATGGATAACCAATGAAACATAAAGTGGATAAATGACATAACATTAGGTGTGGTAACTTTGTTTGACTGCCATTTCACTTATGGATAATTAGCTCTTTCTAATAATGGCTATTCAAGTAACATACCTCATTAATACATAAGACACTGAGTCTGGAATAAAAATGATTTCTTTTTTTGAGTCCTGGGGTCAATTAAATGTTTTACTGGAATGAACTGGATTGTGATTAAATAAGAAGGAACAGTACCTTTTTTTCTGGTAGACAGGGCCCTAAGAATTCCATCATCAAATTTTCTTCCTCAATTCCCTTCTTGTAGTCTTCAAATGACACTCTACTATCATGGTCACCATCCTTTAGGAAATAAACAGTACATGGTAGAAAAACACCTTGATATCTTCCACTTATTTATTAGTAAGTAAAACAAAAGGTTTATAGGGCCTGTATCACTCACCTGGTTTTGTTTAGTTGATTGTTTATCCAAACTAAACAAAAAGGGATTCTAATTGTATGTACATATCTATTTCTCCCATTAGCTACCACCCCTCTACCCTCACAGGATTTGCGAAACCAATTATATAGGTCTCTTTCACCCAAGAATGCTTCAGACTAAATGTGGATAGAATCCTGTCATCCCTTCAGATGAAAAAAGTTTTGAAGGAATTTGTTCTATTACCCCTATTGTGCCCTGCCCCTCCTACCCCAAAGGAGGCACATATCCACATATATTTGATTCTCTTTCACATAAAATTGTGACAGAATCCTACAGAAGAAAGATTTTGAAGAATTGTAGTACTTACCCTACTGCAGTATTGGGCCCTACCCCTAAGGCACCAGTAGGTCGAGAAATACTATCTATACAGAACTGTGTCCCCTTCTCTCAGACAAAATTTGGACAAAATTCCAATCACTTTTACAGTAGAAGAATTTTAAAGGATATCCTCTATTGGGCCACGCTCCTAATTCCCTAGGGGGACGAGACTCATCATTTATACAAAACTGAGTTCCCTTCACCCAAGCATGTTTGAGGCTAAATTCTAACAGAAACCACACCTTAAATTCATACAAAAGAATGGTTTTAAAGAATTTGCTCTATTTCCCCTATCTGGCCTTGTCCTTAAGGCCCCAAAGAGCTAAGACCCATTGTTTATATGAAATTGTTTCCCCTTCACCTCAGAATGTTTCAGACCCGATAAGAACAGAATCCTGACATTCAGGAGGAGAAAGATTTTGAAGAATTTGTTCTATCTTACTTTTTGGGTCTGTCCATAAGGCCCAAGGGGTCAGAGTCCTATCATTTATACAAAATTGTTTCCTATTCACTTGCTTCAAACCAAATTTAAATAAAATCTGATAATTCCTACAGAAGAAGGATTTTAAAAAAATAGCTGAAGGTTCCCCTTTTAGGCCCTGCCTTTCCATTCCAGCGGTGTCTGACCAACCATTAGTTATTTTGATCAGTCTCAAAAATTGAACTGACACAACAAGCTTTACCGGTTATCTGACTATAAAGACCTATATGTGAAAGAGGCCAAATAGACCTAAAATAAATTGCTTAACTACACTACTGCTTACATAGAAGACATTGGTTGGTTCATAACGATATTTTCTACAAACTTGAAATCATATTCTTTTTACATGCACTACACAAATGCAATTGCTCTGGACATATTGCTTGTTGAAAAAAGCATGCTACATGCCTAATATCCAGACCTTTGGCCTTTTGGTTATTAAGAAGAAGCTTGAGATTTTAACATATTTGACTCCTCTGACCTTGAAAACAGGTCAAGGTCATTCATATTTCCAAACTTGGTAGCTTGTTATCCCATCATGCTACAGGCCTAATATCAGCAGCATGGGCCATTTGGTTTTTGAAAACTTTTGTCATTTTAAGATTAAAACATATTTGACCCCTGTGATCTTGAAAGTAAGTCAAGGTCATTTACATTAACAAACTTGATAGCTCTTCATCCTAATATGATACAGACCAAATATCACCACCCTGGATCATTTGGCTATTGAGAAATAGCATTATGAATTCTTACCATTTTTTTGAGAGTAATTTCTACTAATTCTTTAATACTTTCATCCTGGTCTTCATCTGATGATGTCTGTGTATAAAAAATATCAATGATAAAAACTAAGTATAAAAAGTTTAAAAGCAGTCAATGTAAGTGTATTAAAACAAAAGCAATTTTAAATGACATGTCAAAATATTAAACAACATGAAAATTACACACATTTCAATTCAATGATATTAGGATACTACTGGCCATTTTTTAACAACTATTACTTTGTGACACATTTAACTTGGAGAATGCAGGCTGCAGCCATACTGAAGATGTTACATGCAAAATAGAGCTGGAATTGCAAGAAATCCCGAAAATAGGAAAATTTTGTAACTGAAATGTCTTTGCCTGTTAGGCCTGACATAGGATCAACTAGTAAAGATAGAAGCAGATAGAGGTGGATGGATTATACGGCAACTCAAAGAGAGGAGGCTGGGGTGTTCGGAAAATAGAATAGAGGTGGCTGGGGTGTGGTCTAGGATTATAGTACCCGGAATGTGTGTCAACAGGAATAGAGGGGGGCAGGGTATTGGCCCAACTGAGATAAAAAAAACCTGTTGAGTAGAGTTGAATAGAGGGGCTGGGGTATGATGTGACTAGGATTATAGTAGCTGGAGTGTGTTACAGCTGAAATAGAGAGAGAGCTGGGTAGTGGCCCGACTGGAACAGTAGTATCTAGAGTGTGTGAAAACAGGATCAGAGGTGGCTAGATTATAGGGCAACTATAGAAGAAAGGTGGCTGGAGTGTGGAGATAACTGGTAGAGAGAGGGCTGGATAAGGAGGAACCTGGAATAGGGATAGCTGAAATGTGGTGCATTTGAAATATTGGTGGTTGAGATAAGGGGCAGCTGGAATACAGGTAACTGGAGTGTGGGGCAACTGGAAGAGATAGGGCTGACTCATAAGGAACCTGGAATAGAGATAGCTGAAATGTGGTGTATCTGAAATAATGGTGAGTGAAGTGTGCGGCAGATTGAATAGAGGTGACTGGAGTGAGGGGCAACTTGAATAGATGTAGCTAGGGTGTGGAGAAACTGAGATAGATATGGATTTTGTAGTGTGAGAAAAATTGAACAGTACAAATAGTTGAAGTGTGTGACAAATGGATTCATGGTGACTTGAGTTCTGGACAAGTGGAATAGTTGTGGCTAAAGATGAGCTTGAAAAGTGCAGCAGAGATGGTTAGAATACGTGTGAGACAACTGGAATGGAAGTGACTTGAATGTTGAGGAAATGGAGTCACAGTTGTTTTAGTGTCAATGACGGAGACTGACAGGCCAATGAAAATTCCTCGAAAGTTAGAACAACAGCAGTATATTGATATCATATCTTGAATGTGTCATATTATCACAATAAATAAAGAAGTAGCTTTCATATGTTTTCTGTACTAGGTTTTAACAGTGTTTTTCAGGTCCAGCCAACAATGACCTAGTTGTCCAATTAATTTTCTACTGTTATTAGACACTGAATTTTAAATCTTATAAATCTGCTACCAAGTTTACTTGGAAATGAAAATTCAAAAAACCTTGACAGCATATCTATATACTTGTATACATATTATATAACAATTATATGAAGTAGGGGTGAGTTGAAAACACAATACAGACCCTGCTTAGTGATGTCTTAAGAAGTTGGAACATTTCTTCTCGTGATATGTAGCCATCCCCATTGAGATCATAGGCACAGAAACAGACTGGTAGTAGACAAAGAGCAAAAGCACACAAAGACAAGTAAGTAAAGCAGTTACACAACAAAACAAAAATAACAAATAAGTGGATAAATCACACAGTAATCTCCGGAGGCTGAGTTGTACAACAAACCCTTAAGAGGACTGAGTTGTACAATCATTCCTGATACCACATTAAAACGAGTCAATCAAAACAGACCTACAAAATTATCTAATAAATCTACTATCACTGCTTTCATGCATGGGAGGATTTACCAATTATTGTGATCTACCAGTAATATGTTGTGGGGATTGTAGGAAAATTGTTCATATTCAGTTGCTTTTGGTGTATGTGAAGTCACACATCTGACATCATTTGTTTTGATAGACTTTTCAATTCTTATTTCAGGTAGAACCTTAAGGATCATCTGAGCATGCACAATGATGCTTGAGGCTGTAATTAAGTCAAAACTACTGATACATGCTTTTTGTTGTGAAAACTATTCTAAATTAATGTCAATTTAAGCAAGTGAGGGTAATTGTGTCTTTGGCTTGAAATATGCATGTGAAAAAAATCTAAGAAAAAGTAGGATCTAGATGTTGATTAATTAATATATATACATGTGATTAACTATTTTGTCCTTTCCAATCTTAGTATGATTAATGAAATTAAAACTTTAACAAATTCACAAGCAAAACTGGACAATATGTAACAGCAAATTAAAGGTTATGTGTTGTAATCATGTAAAAAGGGGCATTGTTTTATAACCATCTAGCTATATCATGCAATAAGTCAGTTTGCTATGATTAAAAAAATAAAATTGTATTAAGACACCCAAGTTTGGCCAGTTGACTACTTCAAAAACTTACACTTGGACTTCTCTTCCTTGTTGCCCTGAAGGAACACTGACATACCACTAACCCACTCCTCAACATTTATAAAGTTGTCACTGTCTTTATCAAAAGCCCTGAAAACTGAAAATAAAAATCAATATGTTTAATCACTTCTTTATCTAACATAGATTTACGCAAAATTAAGTCCTTATCAATGACAACTAAACAATAACAATACCAGACTAAGAGATTGAAAACTCCAAAGTGACATTCTTGTATCAAATTAAAGGAAAACAAGACATTATAGATTATACAAATCCTCTTGCAGTTTCAACTTGAATAAAAAAAGAACGAAAAAGATGGCCAGGTGTTTGAAATTTGATCAAAATCCCTGTAGAATAATTAAGCAACCACAGTGCTGACAAGTAGTAACTTTGACCTTACATCTCTGAAATTCTAACTTGTCATAGATATTATGGTCATTCATAAATGTGTGATGTTTGATCAAAATAAATGAAGCTCATCTGAGATCATCAGTTCTTGAAATAATTATCCTTTATAAGCAAGTAAAGTTTGATTAAAATACCTCAAGGGATGGGGCTGCTAGAGTGTCAATAAAGATAAGTGTTATATTCACACTAACTTATGTATGCACATATGTTACATATGGGAAAGTCCCTATATATCCCCTTCTTGCACACAAATCATGAGGTAATAGGCTGAGGTTACACAATCCTTCAAATTCACAGGGAGAAATTTAAAATTGAATAGCTGAATTTAAAATTTGCTTCAAGTTTTAAGAAAATTTGAAATCCTATTTGTGTGGAACCAGATGTTCTGGTGATGACAAATTCAAGGATTCCAGAGGCATAGTTTGTGGTCCCAATACAGTCAAGGAAGGTAGTCTAGGCATATTGAGGTAGGTTTATTGCACGGTCAGCAGCAGCAATGTGTATATATTTATCTTGTTCCATGAACACATTAACCTTTTCTTGTTGCAAATGCACTAAGCTGAATATCAAGGTAAAGAAATGTCCTGAAATCACTAGCTAAAATTACCTCTATCAAGTAAGACATCATCTGTCATACTGAAGTAATTGTAGAGGACATCTCGGAACATGCTCCTCTCCATCTTTACAACATGATTCTTGTCCATCATTGTACGACCACCATGGAGATCAAAAAATTTGTATATCAGTTTTTCTATTTGTTGTCTGTTAACTGAAAGGAAAACATATAATTATAACAGTGAAATAAACCATTACCAAGTACCAATATTAATGAAATATTATCCAATATGTTCCTATGATTTAGAAGTGCTTATAAATGTTGAGATTAAATATTGCTATGGTTTACAATTTAAATTAACATACATTGTACTCTTTTCCATCCAAGGTATCTCAGGAAATTCCACACAAAAAATTGGTTAAGCCTTTATCTTAGAAGTTTTGCAATTCTATTCCATTCCAAAAATAAGTAATCAAATTCTACAAAAATATATGTAAACTGAACTATAACAATTCTGAGCTCTACTTATCTAGTGTTATGCAAAATGATTTTGCATTTTTAATTCTTTTTTTCATAGCACCAAATGAGAATTTCCTACCCATTGATAATATAGATTAAAAAAACCCCAACAAATCCTTTGAAGCTTTGGTTTGGAAATAAAAAACATACTACAATCTTATGAATAATTGAAAAAATCATAAATTCAATAAACATATAGACAATACATTAATGATGCTTTGAAATGCATGAAGAACATATCTGATTCCATTCTCATTTTTCATAAACGAGAAAATTAAATGCATCAACTTTCACACAGAAAGCTGCCAATTTATCAGGAATTGCAATATTTATATTTCTACCAATTAGTCAGTAGACATTTCCTTGCTATTTCATATTATGAGTTAGTTATTTAACCCTAGTAAAATACCGGCCACAAGATACCACGTGGCTAGGGAGAACTCTTTAATTTGATTGGTTGAGCATCAGACTAGTGAGTAAGGGGTTCTGGGTTATATTCCAAGCCAATACACTGAGATAAAATAATGACCTCTATTACACTGGTACCCATCTAAGGGCTAGGGAATAATACATGGTAATTCTTTCACAAGCATCACTATGGCCCCTGGAAACTCGAGGATGATTTCTCTTCCTAGAGGTGGAGTATATAACCCTTGTAAAATACTGGTCACAATTTATAGCCCAGTAAGGGAGAATTTCTCTTTTGCTTGATCGGTTGAGCGTAAGCCTGGGGTTCCGAGTTCGGCTCGTAGCGGAGGACCTCCGTTACAGATATAGATCCGGCATATTTACAGTGGTGAAGATGTCTTTAAGAGTCCGGTTCTTTTCCCTTTCAAAGCAATTTGATTAACATAAATATGTGTATTATATGATTCCTGCTCGTTTAGCAGCATGATAGCAACTGCAGGTAGAAGTGTGAACACTTCACATAAAACTGTCAATGCCTACTGTACAGTATATTACAAACAAAAACGTTCTTGCTTTGGTTTGGAGAAAAATTAAATCAACTTGCCAATTTGTCATTATACATACAATGAATTTCTTTTTTCTTTGATAGTTTTTCCACTAGTTTTTGCAGTTCTTTCCTCTTCGAAGTCATGTTTGGCACCGTTCCTCACACAAGAGGGTTAAATTTTCGCTCTTCTCTTGCAACTTGCGTGTTGTTGTCAAGCAGCCTACGCATGCGCAAATTGATCGACTATCATCCCGCAACTTAAGTATTCTTAAACATATCCTTACTCGGTTGGATGCCTTTTTTAGTATTTATACAATAAAAGAAAAAAGATTTACAAGTATTATCGATTCTGGATATTTTTACAAGAAAAAATGTGCAGTAAAAATAACCAATCAAATCGTAGAATGGCTTATGCTTCCGTCTCTAAAATTAGAAAGCATGGCGGATGCGGACTCTCTGCATGACATGAGCTCGGACTTAGATCAAGATCCAAGTGCTGTAGACGCTGACGTTGACGACGATGAAGTGTCTGAACAAGGGTATACACATCATTTTTGTATTGCAGATTAAATAATCCCGATTGAACTTCATTTTCTACAAGACCCTTCCCCGGTGACCCTGCCCTTGCATGCTTGCTCTGTCACGAAAATCGGTTTTAGTTTCTCATCTGTGTTCTGGTTGAGAATATCATCTTATTCGGATACGCCTTTCAGACTATTTATTCTGTTCGATGCATTTGAATGTTTGCTACAAAAGCACAACGACAAAAACAGACAGGATTTTAACATTACATTATTGACTACTGAATAACCCCCCCTCCCCAACGAAGTTGTCGGTAAACAGGAAAAAGGCAATGCTGCAGCAAGCACTAGGATCCGGAATGATTTGACTACCAACAGTTGGTATTTCCTGGAATATGTTTTGTTTTTGTGGATGACAAATAAACTATTTCATGGATTTATTAAACTACTCTGGTCTAAGACAATTGTATATGAATGTCATAATTCAGTCAATGATTCATGGCTAACTTTGCATTAGAAAGAATTGGTACTTAGCAGAATATGCTCATGACCAAGCTATGGAACACTAAATCGGTCCATGACCAATCTATGGAACACTGAATAGGTCCATGACCAAGCTATGGAACACTGCATAGGTCCATGACCAAGCTATGAAACACTGCATAGGTCCATGACCAAGCTATGAAACACTGAAAAAGGTCCATGACCAAGCTATGGAACACTGAAAAGGTCCATGACCAAGCTATGAAACACTGAATAGGTCCATGACCAAGCTATGGAACACTGAATAGGTCCATGACCAAGCTATGGAACACTGAAAAGGTCCATGACCAAGCTAGGAAACACTGAACATATTTCAGAATCCAAGGTATAAGAAAGAGTCGCAACTCTCGAGGATGAATGTAAAAAAAAAAAAAAAAAAAAATAGCCCACATAAGAAGAGAATTGATCAGTGATAAGGTTTTTAGTTTAGACATTGACAACCTGTATGTCATTCCTCAATCATGCAAGCACATTTTATATGCTTTTCATGTACTTGACTCGACTTATTTAAATTCATTTCACATACGAATAGCAGTAATATACCCACAAGCACAGATAAATATGTATATAAGCACTTGAACTTAGGTCAAGGTTGTTATGTCAAAGGTTAAGACTGGAATAATACTTTTTTAACCACTTAACACACAGATATGACAAAATGATTCTGAAGTAAATACATTCAAGTTGGTTGTATGACTTTTGCTCAATTAGCATATAATGGGGTATAACCATCAGATTAACTTAAACAACATTAGGGGAATGGTGAAGGCACCAGTAGAAATTGATGGTTATAGATAAGGGGGCTGTCATAAAAAGGTTATCATATCTTTTCACTCCTATATAGTTAATATTTTATCATCTAGTTTGTGGATGAATTGCATAACTTGTACTGGAATAGATAAGTTGTGTGTTATGTTAAATGCCTCCCATTGTTCATTACTTTGTGTATTTACATTGTAATCTGATTGAAAAGGTTTGAATACTTTTAAAGGTCTTTTAATTGACATACTGTGATATCATGTTCCCTGAAAAGTTTGTTATTCATCACTGTAAAATTTGAGGAAAAATGGCTTAAAATTCAAAATCTGGGAGCCTTGATAGTGTTTTTAGTTTTATGCCGTTCTGCTTTGCCCATATTACAATATCACATTTGTAAGCATTGTTCTTAATGTTACATCATATCATAAGTCAAGTTCACTTCAATTCAATTGCTTCTCTGTCCTTTTTTCAACCAGACTGGAAGCTGCATCTAGAAAGAAAAATAAGAAATTTCTTAAGAAAAGAAAACACAAAGATATCGAAAGGTCAAGTGGTGACTCCGACAGTCAAATAGTTAATGATGATGAAGACCATGGTGTAAGGGTTCCCATGCTCCACGATCAGAATGAACAAAACCAGTCTGGGATGGAGGCTGATTCAGAGAGTCAGGGTTCTGGATCCAAGGGATCTGAAAATGGACAGAAAAAAGAAGTTGGAGCTTCAGGTCCACTCACAGAGGATGCACCAGAAGTAAGATCAAAATGAAGGTTGTGATTAATGTTAAAACGAAGGTATTGATTATATTAAAATGATTAATGTTAAAACAAAGGTATTGATTATATTAAAACGATTAATGTTAAAACGAAGGTATTGATTATATGAAAATGATTAATGTTAAAACGAAGGTATTTATTATATTAAAATGATTAATGTTAAAACGAAGGTATTTATTATATGAAAATGATTAATGTTAAAAGGTTGAAATGAAGGTTTTGATAAATGTTATAATATTAAAAGGAAGGTTGTGATTAATGTTATAATATTAAAAGGAAGGTTGTGATTAATGTTAAAACGAAGGTATTGATTATATGAAAATGATTAATGTTAAAAGGTTGAAATGAAGGTTTTGATAAATGTTATAATATTAAAAGGAAGGTTGTGATTAATGTTATAATATTAAAAGGAAGTTTGTGATTAATGTTAAAACGAAGGTATTGATTATATGAAAATGATTAATGTTAAAACGAAGATATTGATTATATTAAAATGATTAATGTTAAAAGGTTGAAATGAAGGTTTTGATAAATGTTATAATATTAAAAGGAAGGTTGTGATTAATGTTAAAACGAAGGTATTGATTATATTAAAATGATTGATGTTAAAAGGTTGAAATGAAGGTTTTGATAAATATTATAACATTAAAAGGAAGGTTGTGATTAATGTTATAATATTAAAAGGAAGGTTGTGATTAATGTTAAAACGAAGGTATTGATTATATGAAAATGATTAATGTTAAAACGAAGGTATTGATTATATTAAAATGATTAATGTTAAAAGGTTGAAATGAAGGTTTTGATAAATGTTATAATATTAAAAGAAAGGTTTTGATTAATGTTAAAATGAAGATTTTGGTTATGTTAAAATAAGTGATTAATAAATGTTAAAATGAAGATTTTGATTATGTTAAAATAAGTGATTAATAAATGTTAAAATGAAGATTTTGATTATGTTAAAATAAGTGATTAATAAATGTTAAAATGAAGATTTTGATTATGTTAAAATAAGTGATTAATAAATGTTAAAATGAAGGTTTTGATTAATGTTTATTCTTTATCAGTCTATATCTGAATTTTTTTAACTAATGTGTTACTTCTTAAGAAAACATCACTGCAGAAATGCATTCTCTATTGTAAGTAAAGGAGAAAATGTTAAAGTAGATTAAAAAATATTCTTTAAGCTGATTTTAACTGTAGCTATCATTTTGCCAGTGTAAATAAGTACCTATACTTTGTATACACACAGTGTCTGGTCACAGTTTATTTCATTTAGCCACATCTATGAATTCAAAGAATCATTATGTTATAAACACTAAATTTATTTCAAAGATGCAAAGATTTAAGTGTTTAATTTTTAGGTATATAATACAAGTTCAGCACTTGATATACAGCATATTATTAAGTTACCGGGTGATTAAGGTGCACATCATGTCTGATGTCACCTCTATCAATGGCAGTAACAAAAAAGAAGCTTTTCATATTGTTTCATAAATTTTATTTATAGAAGTTGTATATAAGTTGCATATTATCCATTTGAAAGATTTTCATCCTCCCACCAAATATAGCCAGAAATGTTACTTTGTCATTGATTATTGAGGATTTTTCAAATTTTGCTTTCCCATTGTTCAGAAAAGTTGATTGATGGCAAAAGTAGCCTTTTTTGGGTCAACACTGAACCCGGTTATTCTTAGAAAACATATTAATGAAATGTTACTTTTAAGCTAACTATCTGTTTCTAGTCTATGTGAGAACAATGCTTTTTAATCAAAGTTGCTTTTTGTTCAAATGTAGTGAATATTCAGAAGTAAGTTTGAGATACCATAAATTTCTGTATATTTATGAAATTGTTTCCTTTTTACAGACATCATCTTTATCAGGATTACAGAGGATTCAGAAAGCTGTTGAGCTCCTCTCAATGGCACCAGCGGCACCCAAAAGTATGGAGGAGGCATCCAAAAAGCGTTATCAGTTCTGGGAGACTCAGCCAGTACCAAAAATTAGTAAGTCCAATCTGCCAAAGTGCTAAAAGATAGAATTTCTAATCCCAGACTTGAAATTCTACCTGAAAAACTGGAAAGTTTAGAATACTGGCAGATGTTAAGGTTATACTGTTTAAACTTTTGTTTTTCTTTGGTTGGAGAATCATTAAAACCTAGGTACAAATATTCAGCCAGTAGTGTAGAAATATGAGTCTAATTCATGCTAACAATCCTTGTGTAGAACTATCTACTTCTGATTTACTAGTACTACTACTGAAAATATTTTCTATGTTTCTGAAATGGTTTTGTACCGGAAGTTACAGATCTTAAGGAATATTGCAGGATTAATCATGATAACGTTTGTTGGGATTTTGATTACAAAACCAAGGTATGCTACCTTGCAGATGAGAAGATCCAGACAACAGTAAATGAAGCTATAGAACCAGACAAACCTGTTGAAGAGATCCGCAGTGAACCATACTCTCTCCCCGGAGGCTTTCGATGGGATACCCTAGACTTGTGTGACCCCCTCATTGTAAGTTTATCCTGAGCTTGAGAATTCATAAAATCCCATCGTTTAAAAGTCAATATCACCACATATGTCTCCTTCTGTTGTTACCTGTTATGGGGTAAAATATCACTTAACCATGGTAAGATGTCAGAGTTGACCATTATGAAATATTTCTGTTTACCATTGTAAAATGTCACTTTTGATCATTGTAAAATGTCATTTTTTTACCATTGGTAAATTTCACTAATAAGCTTGGTAAAATGTCACTGTTTAAAAAGGTGAAGTGTCAGATTTCTATGGTAAAAGGTCAATATTGACTTTCACAAAATGTCACTGTTACCTGTCACAGCTTATAATTATGTGCTGCTTTATTTTTACCTTTAAAGCTAAGTTTTATTGGGAGATATTTTTTAATGTGTTATTATTACTATTAGTTTGACCCTGTTATATTGAGGTAAAGGTATTCTTTTGTGTCGATAAACATTTGTTTTACCCTTCTTTTACTACTGTACTAATATTTCCCTGTGTTTTTGATCTCCCTATCACGTCCCCAAGGAGGGAAACATTTCTGTTATTGCTTTTCAACAATACTGTGGGTGCTGATAATTATTCAGCAATTAGAAATTTATGTTACTGAATTACTTAGTAAAGACAAATTATACAAAGGTGAAGTGAAGTTTTTTTAACCCTTATTTGTAGCTGAAGGAGCTGTACACTCTGCTGAATGAAAACTATGTTGAGGATGATGACAACATGTTTCGGTTTGATTATTCTCCAGAATTCTTACAATGGTATGTACTAGCTATGAACCATTTTTCTATTCTAAGGAATATTCTTTTTTTTTCAGTGAGGTAAATAAATAAAATCACCTGTTCAAAAGGGATCATCACCATGCCAGTACATTTGCTATATTTTACCTTCAGACCATAAATTTTCCCAAAGTTCTTTCAAAGGATGATAACAGAAATTACACATTGAAAATACTTTTATTATTTTAGTATCATTGTGATATGAACTATTGTGTATTATTTGATAATCTATTTCATACAAACAAACATGTGTTCCTACTAAAGAATAAACAAACTAATGTAGAAACTTGCATGTTCATTACCAGGAAAATATTTATACGTGAAGATACAATTTTGTGGGTTTTTTCTGTCAGGGCACTTCAGCCTCCTGGATGGTGTAAAGACTGGCATTGTGGGGTGAGAGTGATAAAGAATGACAAGCTGTGTGGGTTCATTAGTGCTGTCCCAGCACACATCAAGATGTATGACAAGTAAGTACAGACAAATCATCTATGTAACAGACTGTCTGTCCCAGCACACATCAAGATGTATGACAAGTAAGTACAGACAAATCATCTATGTAACAGACTGTCTGCCTAGCACGAATCAAGATGTATGACAAGTAAGTACAGACAAATCATCTATGTGACAGACTGTCTGCCTAGCACGAATCAAGATATATGACAAGTACAGACAAATCATCTGTGTAACAGACTGTCTGCCTAGCACGAATCAAGATATATGACAAGTACAGACAAATCATCTATCTAACAGACTGTCTATCCCAGCACGAATCAAGATGTATGACAAGTAAGTACAGACAAATCATCTATGTAACAGACTGTCTGTCCCAGCACACATCAAGATGTATGACAAGTACAGACAAATCATCTGTGTAAAGACTGTCTGCCTAGCACGAATCAAGATGTATGACAAGTACAGACAAATCATCTGTGTAGCAGACTGTCTGCCTAGCACGAATCAAGATGTATGACAAGTACAGACAAATCATCTGTGTAACAGACTGTCTGCCTAGCACGAATCAAGATGTATGACAAGTACAGACAAATCATCTGTGTAACAGACTGTCTGCCTAGCACGAATCAAGATATATGACAAGTACAGACAAATCATCTGTGTAACAGACTGTCTGCCTAGCACGAATCAAGATATATGACAAGTACAGACAAATCATCTATCTAACAGACTGTCTATCCCAGCACGAATCAAGATGTATGACAAGTAAGTACAGACAAATCATCTATCTAACAGACTGTCTGTCCCAGCACACATCAAGATGTATGACAAGTACAGACAAATCATCTGTGTAACAGACTGTCTGCCTAGCACGAATCAAGATGTATGACAAGTAAGTACAGACAAATCATCTATGTGACAGACTGTCTGCCTAGCACGAATCAAGATATATGACAAGTACAGACAAATCATCTGTGTAAAAGACTGTCTGCCTAGCACGAATCAAGATATATGACAAGTACAGACAAATCATCTATCTAACAGACTGTCTATCCCAGCACGAATCAAGATGTATGACAAGTAAGTACAGACAAATCATCTATGTAACAGACTGTCTGTCCCAGCACACATCAAGATGTATGACAAGTACAGACAAATCATCTGTGTAACAGACTGTCTGCCTAGCACGAATCAAGATGTATGACAAGTACAGACAAAGCATCTATGTAACAGACTTTCTGTCCCAGCGCGAATCATGATGTATGACAAGTAAGTACAGACAAATCATCTATGTAACAGACTGTCTGTCCCAGTAAACATCAAGATGTATGACAAGTACAGACAAATCATCTGTGTAACAGACTGTCTGCCTAGCACGAATCAAGATGTATGACAAGTACAGACAAATCATCTATGTAACAGACTGTCTGTCCCAGCACACATCAAGATGTATGACAAGTACAGACAAATCATCTGTGTAACAGACTGTCTGCCTAGCACGAATCAAGATATATGACAAGTACAGACAAATCATCTGTGTAACAGACTGTCTGCCTAGCACGAATCAAGATATATGACAAGTACAGACAAATCATCTATCTAACAGACTGTCTATCCCAGCACGAATCAAGATGTATGACAAGTAAGTACAGACAAATCATCTATGTAACAGACTGTCTGTCCCAGCACACATCAAGATGTATGACAAGTACAGACAAATCATCTGTGTAACAGACTGTCTGCCTAGCACGAATCAAGATGTATGACAAGTACAGACAAATCATCTGTGTAACAGACTGTCTGCCTAGCACGAATCAAGATGTATGACAAGTACAGACAAAGCATCTGTGTAACAGACTTTCTGTCCCAGCGCGAATCATGATGTATGACAAGTACAGACAAATCATCTATGTAACAGACTTTCTGTCCCAGCACGAATCAAGATGTATGACAAGTAAGTACAGACAAATCATCTATCTAACAGACTGTCTGTCAGAGCGGAATGGAGTTTCATGGTTAATATGAAGATTCCACAAACATGTATACAAGCATCACCTTTTGTAGGATTCTGTGTCAAAACTTGCTAGGGTCAAAAACAAGGTCAATCTTGCATGTACAGATGGTATATGTGTCAGTCTTATCCAGCTTGTTTGTTTTAAGGGTATGAGTTTCAGTCTTTCCAATTTGCGGAGACTTTCTCACCTAAGGTACTGATTGATCACCTCCAGACACTGGGCAGCAGTTACCCTGGAATTTAGGGAATACTTTCCATGGTGAATAAAGGGAATTTCTGACTTATTTTAAGATATGATGAAATTTCAGACAGTCCTTTTGATCTTAAGTTCAAAAGAGGGTTAGGATAAAAATGTATGACATACATGAAGATTACATCAATAAGATAGGAAAATATTGATGTTAGAATGATATTTCTTGTTCATGAATTGATGGCATGATTTGAAAATTTGTAAAATATTACTAATTAGCTCTGTTTTGAAAAAAAATTCTCCATGTTTTCACCTAATTTTCTTGATGGGGAATTTGTTTATATTCAGATGGGGAAAACATACTACTTGGGAATACTACTCTTTTCAGGTAGTGAAGTTTGTCTTGGTCAATTCCTGCTGTTTTTATTAACGTTGTGCATATAGACTTTCATAGCAAAATCATGTTGGTTCCAGATCAAAACAAATGGTAGAAATCAATTTCCTGTGTGTTCACAAGCGATTACGATCAAAGCGTGTGGCTCCAGTGTTGATACGAGAGATAACTAGACGTGTCAACCAGAAGGGACTTTTCCAGGCAGTTTATACTGCAGGAGTGGTTCTACCAAAACCAGTGGCATGTTGTAGGTAAGTTGTAGAATATGTTTGTGTCATTGTTTTGTGATGGAATTAAACACAATTTCTTTCTCTTGAGATGAAACATGGATTTCTGTTATAAACATCTAGTTCTTATGACATGGACATTGTAACATAACTTTGTATGTGAAGTGAAAGAAATCCTTGTCTTTAGATGATCCTTCAATGGTGAATTAATATGTATATAATTTACTGTTGAGGAAAAAGTTAGATATTTTCCTTTCCTGATTGAGTTATAAACAGATTTAGAGTAATAGTGATGTGAGCAATTGATCCAAAATTGAAGTATTTGTTTCAGATATTGGCACAGATCTTTAAATCCTAGGAAATTAATTGAAGTGAAGTTTTCACACCTAAGTAGAAATATGACTATGCAGCGGACCCTCAAGTTATACAAACTACCCGATGTAAGTGATACATTGTAGCTGCAATACACACAGTGCATCAAATTTCTGAGATTTTACGGATAACTTTCAGAATAAACAGAATTTTATTTTCAAATTTAACCAGAGGAAGAATAATCTCAGTTAAAAATTAATTAATGTTCAATATAGCAATTACATATTAATTAAATAAACACGAGCTGCTGAGGTTGTGAAGATGATGTATGGTATTCTGGGAAAGTTATATTGTCATGCGCAATAATTTGTTATAGACTCTGATTGTTTGTGAATTATCATGTTTCAAATACAACTTAAACCAGTGATCTCTACTGCAGAAATATTTCAAAGATAATTTCAGATTTATGTTCTTTGAATTAAATGATGTAAACATTTCCTTATCACTTTTAAAAATTATTTGTGATGGTACAATTTGTATTTGTAAACAGACACCAAAAACGCCTGGATTTAGGGAGTTTACTCCAGCAGATATTCAGGATGTTCACACTTTACTGGCTGCAGTAAGTATGATTATACAACAACAACTATTACAGCTGATCTTTAGAAGTTTTCTAGAAAATGATTGACAATTGTTTTCTTTTTGAAAGTGCTGACAGTGTCCTTGATTTTTGTTTGTTTGGTTTTTTTTGTTGACATTTTTATAACTTACAAAGTGTTTTCGAATTTAGGAAAGTTCTGTGATGTGGAAAAGTTAGATATTTTTAAAAATGAAATGGTCAATTAATCATCCTTTAACAATTTATACAAATATTTCTAAATGTTGGAGAACACTCATATAGTTTTGTCTCTTGTTCTCAGGAGATATTCTACATAGTAAATACAGTGTTTTGGTATAACAATGCTTTATTGACAATTTTTGTTTTGTTTGTAGTATTTACAAGGTCTAGACTTATCACCAATATTTTCTATGGAGGAATTCAAGCACTGGTTTATACCCAGGCCAGGAATCATTGATAGCTATGTGGTGGAGGTAAGTCTATCACGTTATAAATTTTATAGATGTATCTCTGTCCAAGCATGCACACTCTCTGGAAAAAAATATGTTTGTACTGACAACAAGGTAAAAATCATAAGCCAGTTGGTAATTTATTGGCTACGGAAATGTAGAGGTTCTGTCAAATTTATCTGGCAAGAAAAAATGGAGACTGTCATTCAACAGAAATATAGTTGTTTTAATATTTGTTATATCTGAAATAAATGCAGTTTGAGAAAATTATCTGGCAGTGGGTTAAAATGATTTTGTGATGCAGGTTTGTAATGTGCGTATTCATGTTGGAAATGTAAAATCATGATAACTTAGTATGGATTAATCGGTTACTACAGAAAGAGGGAACTGTCACAGACTTTGTCAGCTTCTACACACTACCATCAACTGTGATGCACCATCCCACACACAAGTATCTGAAGGCGGCCTACTCCTTTTACAATGTCAGCACAAAGACACCCTGGAACGATCTGATGCAGGATGCTCTTATTGTAGCCAAGAGAGTATGTATTTATAAACATGTTCATTGATTCTTATTGGTGTACTATAGCTACTTATGTGAAGAACTTGAATGGTATCTGAATCTTGGCTATCTTGAATCTTTACCAGAAAATTAGGAGCATGGATTTCTTAATATCACACATGGAGATGTTTACCATTCTAATAAGCATATTTATCATGTTATTCATGGGCTCATTACTGGGTAACCAGACGAATAAACATATTGATAGTGTCAAGTATACATACCCCTCTCATGAAATTGGATTTTCTGTTGTAGATGGGATTTGATGTATTTAATGCCTTAGATTTAATGGACAACAAAGAATTCCTGGAGAAGCTTAAGTTTGGCATTGGTGATGGAAACCTACAGTATTACCTGTACAACTGGAGGTGTGCCCAAATGAATCCAGAGCAGGTATGACAAGGCTACGCTAACTTTAAAGTTTTCCAACAGTCATGCTAACTTCAAAATAACAAAGTTTGACTGTACATTCTGTATTTGAATAATAAGTATTTAGATAACGTTAAAGTGTTATCTTTGTTGTTTTGGTTTAGAACAATGGCTTGAAAATAAAGAAGTCTTCTTACTCTTGTTCTTGTAATGTTGAAATGCAGTTTTTTCTTGGAATTAATTTTCAGTAGATCATCATTTTATCCAAGTACATATATTATCTTTGGTAGAATCAATCTCCTCTTGTTGTAGGTGGGTTTAGTGCTACACTGATGAAATAGGGACAACTTCTGTTTGACAAAAACTTCCTGGAGTCTGTTGGACATCTGTATGAAGTGTGTTGGTACAGAAGGATACACAGCACGCCACATCAAACCAGTGTTTTATCACAGTACACAGACTCTACAGTGTGCTGTGTTTGAGGTCAAAGAAACTCATCTGTTGGTTGTGTAGAACAAAACCGAACAATATAACAGAACAATTTGGTTACTGATAATGAATATTCCTTTATATCTTTATATATTGGAAGGATCTGATTGTGCTTTGCCAAGTTGGATGAATGACATTACTAATGATATGGATGATTTTCATTTTCTAAGAAACCCATATAAGACTGGCATTTGTTATTAATTATGAGTTTTATTTTATTTGAGGGTATGTAAGAGGGGTCAGCAAGACTCTGGAGTAGTTCTGCAAATGACCTTTGTCTTAGAAGTCCATCTTTTATTTTCCATGTTTATTCTGCATTTCTACAAGACAAGTAACACTTTGAACACATTGAGGTCACATCAGCATGCTGGTATTACATGATCTAGACTAGTGTACAATAACACTTCCAAGTACTAAGACACAAGGATCAGCACCTGTTACAGGTAACCATGTTAGTTCTTCCTAAAGAAATTATTTTCATGAATATAAGGGAAAGTATTACAGAATTTTTATAAAGCTTCTATTCAATGCCATCAGAGGCAAAGCAATGTCGTTTATGTGTAGCAGTAGTATAGCATGGTATTTTGAGGTTATTTAGGGACAAAAAATTAGGCTATCTGAAGAAATTTCTACATATTGCTATGATGGTTAATTTTGAAGATTAGGATTTTCAAGTAATCAAAACCCATTAAGAATTTCTTTATCACTTTATCTGTTTTGTTTTCAAAGTATATATTAATGACAATTTTACGCTTTCTTCCATCCTTGAAAATAGCCAAAAACATAGAACCATTGAAAGAATGAAATTTTACCTATTATTGATAGACTGGGGAACCAGTGCCATGTTCTCTGTGATACTGTTATTGTGGGTGGGTTGGAAAAAACAGACACTGTGGTGTGGCAAGGAATATAGCTAAGTAGATATTTATTGAATAGATGTACATCAATTTTTTCATGAATGTATACTTTAAAGGAGAACACAAATGCCAGAAGGATTGTGAGCATATCACATCTTTTTAGTCAGTCATTTTGTGTCCTGTGACTTTATCCTTTATCTCAAATATCATATTTACTATTAGCATTTTTCCCATGGTCCTAGTGACTTGGGTATTACAATATTTGATTTGCCTTGATTAGTAGCACTGTTAGAAAACAAGGATAAATGTTGAGAGAAAGCACACAATTAGTATGGATCTGCAGACAGATCATCTGTCTTATGTTGCCCATCAGTCTGGCATCATTAGATCAATTATGTTGTCTGTGTGATAATCTGACGTCGGATGAGAGGTTGGTGTTGTCTCAGAGAATGTAGAGATTTGTACTGTTGCAATAAGTTTGGTGCATGTTTTATTGTATAAGTGGGAATGATGTAATAATTAACAAGTGAACATGGACATTACTAGTCTAGGCAGTAAGATCTCAGGAGTAGTGATTTGAAGAATATAAATGACAAATTGGAGTGGTGTGACTGAAAATTGATGTCAAAGATTTATGTGAAGGGGGTTGGGGGATGGGGGATGATACCCTATAGGATGGGGATAAATTTTAATGGGTTTTGGTTTTGAATGCTATGACATGACGGATAGTATAATCACTATAGCTTTACTTGTGTTGATGAGTTTTTCATTTTGAGTTTTGTAAAAATCCTGTTAGTGTAGTTGTAGATTTGACATTCCCTACTAACAACAGAGAATACAAGCTATTTATAAGGCCAGACAACATTACCAATTTCACAGGATTTTGGAGACTGCATAAAGAATTATCCTAGGTATCCAGTTGGCAGTCTTTCTACAGTAAGTATGTATTGTCTACGTGTTGGTCCTTGTTTGTATCACAATGTATGTAAGTGGATAATACATTTTTCACAATTTTTGGTCTGTTAATCATAAATCAACATGTGTCGTTAAAAAATTCTTAAGTACTTCATCAAACAAACAGATAACAACACAGGTGTGTAAGACAGATCAGCTATATAACTGGTATCTATTGGTTAAATAAGATTTTTGTATTTATGGTCAATCATGTTTCACTCCAAAGTTTTGGAAGAAGAGGAATAAAAAATTGTGTGTGTGACACAAGAAAAATTACTATTATAGGTTTTCATTTTAGCCTTTGAATGATAATACTTGAAAAAGACCCCAGCATGTGTTACAGGAGATTTCTATTAAGAATAAGTTTGAGTCCAACATTGATAGGGCAAACATATATATACATTGGAGGCTACAATCTAATCTATATCAGATGTTTCATTTACTATACCAGCTAATATTTTGCAATCCCTATTTAGGTGCCAATTTAAAAGTGTTTTGTAAGCTCTTGACAACCAAACTTAGATATCTTTTCCATGCAACTCAAAATTCCAAAAAGTCAATTTCTTCATATTTGTGTTTCATGTTTCTTTTTAGATATTGCTAAAAAGTGAAGAAGAAAATGAAGAGTTGCAGGATCGCACTCATAGCATTGTTTTTTCATGTAATGGTGATTATACAGAAAACAATTGCTTCAATAGCGTCAATGGTTACAATTAGGACTGTCTGTAAGTTTTGAACAAGATATGAAATTGATATGAAGCATTAAGAAATCAGACTAGGCTACTTTTGCTCCAATGAGATATCAAATGTTACACGGTTACATTTTCCCATATCTCCTAAATTCACAGCTTGCCAAAATGAGTCTAAATGTATCAAATAATGCCCAAGAACAAACTAAAGAAAACTCGATATTGATGAAAATTTTTAAAGTTTTCTTGTACATGTCATAGAAATATACATGTCTTTCTTACACACATGTATAATATTCCTGACGGGGATCTAGAATGTCAAAATATTAAACAAAAAGGGGAAAATTGTAGCTTTAAACATTTTTGATTTTGTGTGACAAAATATTTTTCTGTAGATTGTGATGCCGTTTGATTCTGATGTAGATTTCCGAAATTTAGTTTTTGATTGTGTTTGGTTGGTGTTTAGTGAAGGTAGTGTACGTAAAGGTTTTCGATGATGAAACATATGCTGTGTACTGATGAAGTGAGAGAACCTGTTGGTCATTTGTATACATCATTAATTTATTTCTTTTGTAGTATCATTTATTCTGATAGATGATGATTTCTTTTGTATGCCATTATTTATCATGCATTGATAAAATACAGGGTCGGATGGAGGTGATGATTTTTCTACATTATTTGATATATGACTTCCATCAAGCATTCTTGTGACTTTTGATTTGTAATGCGTCAGTGGTATTGTAAACACACTTCTTTTATGCATGGAATAATCAAAGGTTATTTAAAATGTATGTATTCTGAATTATTCACTTAATATATACACACTACACCAGTGCAAGGTAATGATTCTGCTGCAGAACTCGTCCACATTGAAATTGTTAGCTCCTTAGTCCAGTGGATCCGTCAGCTTTTGCCGTGATGTTGCGTCCCATGTCTATTTTTGAAAGCTACATTATTTATGCAGCATTGTTTGAATTTTAAAGCACAAACCAATTTAGAAAATAGACGATGGTGAATATGTTGCATTCTATTTGGCCATATTTTATTTGGAGTATTGATGGATTGTTGAAAGGGGCTCAGTTTTGTGTGTACAGTTTTTGTATCCTTGGTTCAGAGGGGTGGGACCCAATAAAAAATGTCTTAGAGGTGAATCTTTGGTCCTTTCTTTCATACAAATAGACATGAAATTTTCTAAATTTGTTCTCCAATATTTCTGTGTGAAGTTGACCGAATGACCCCTCTAAGTTGAGATTGGATGTAAGTTAACATAATCTTATTTTCTATGAATCGTATCTGAAACCTGAAATCTGATTCTATTAGGGAATCTATTTGTAGTGAAATACAGAAGAAAAAAAAAGTTTTTGTCATTTGTTTAATTAGAATAGTGCTGTGATCTCTGATGTTGCCAGGTAACTGATACAGGCTCACGGGGCCTCTTTTTTATGATTCAAATATGTAAATATTTCATAACACAGTATGTACAATCATGTAGAAAAATGAAGTCTCATCTTCAGATCACAACATCACAGGCATGAACCATAACGTAACTGTGCAAGGTAGAAATGATTCCTGTACTTGTGATGTTGTTGAATTGTGTATGCAATCAATATACCAAGTTCAGTTTAAGAAATATTCATATTACAGCAATTATAAATATATGTATCTGAGCATCCAGGAAAAAACTCATGATAGTGAAAGGCTTTTTTCGTATAGTTTGATATATTTGTTATTGCAGATCATTGTAACCCTATACTTTAAGTGTTAAATGATAGCTGAAGACATCCATGTGAAATAATTTGGATTTTTTTCTCCTTGTAATTTACATCATTTTGACGTTTACCTTGTACTGACACATTGCTTTAAGAGAATCATCAGCAAACCGGTTATTAAATCTGAGGTGTCTTTGTTTTAAGATACTATTGATTGACTTAGATATCTTTATAATATTGGAAATTTCATTAATTATTGATTGACTTTAAGGTGTCCTTGTATTAAGGGAATTACCAATAATTATTGATTGACTTAAAGGTGTCCTTGTATTAAGGGAATTACCAATAATTATTGATTGACTTAAAGGTGTCCTTGTATTAAGGGAGTTACCAATAATTATTGATTGACTTAAAGGTGTCCTTGTATTATGGGAGTTCCTTGTATTAAGGGAGTTACCAATAATTATTGATTGACTTAAAGGTGTCCTTGTATTAAGGGAGATACCAATAATTATTGATTGACTTAAAGGTGTCCTTGTATTAAGGGAGATACCAATAATTATTGATTGACTTTAAGGTGTCCTTGTATTAGGGGAGATACCAATAATTATTGATCGACTTTAAGGTGTCCTTGTATTAAAAAGAACCAATAATTATTGATCTACTCTGATGTATCCATATTGTGGATGGCATCATTGAGTTTGAGATATACCTATCGTATGTGGTACCGCTGACTTTGAGGTATCTGTGTTGTTGGTGGTACCACTGACTTTGAGGTATCTGTGTTGTTGGTGGTACCACTGACTTTGAGGTATCTGTGTTGTTGGTGGTACCACTGACTTTGAGGTATCTGTTGTTGTGGTGTTGGTGGTACCACTGACTTTGAGGTATCAGTGTTGTTGTTGGTGGTACCACTGACTTTGAGGTATCTGTGTTGTTGGTGGTACCACTGACTTTGAGGTATCTGTGTTGTTGGTGGTACCACTGACTTTGAGGTATCTGTGTTGTTGGTGGTACCACTGACTTTGAGGTATCAGTGTTGTTGGTGGTGTTGGTGGTACCACTGACTTTAATGTATCTGTGTTGTTGGTGGTACCACTGACTTTGAGGTATCTGTGTTGTTGGTGGTGTTGGTGGTACCACTGACTTTGAGGTATCTGTGTTGTTGGTGGTACCACTGACTTTGAGGTATCTGTGTTGTTGGTGGTGTTGGTGGTACCACTGACTTTGAGGTATCTGTGTTGTTGGTGGTACCACTGACTTTGAGGTATCTGTGTTGTTGGTGGTGTTGGTGGTACCACTGACTTTGATGTATCTGTGTTGTTGGTGGTACCACTGACTTTGAGGTATCTGTGTTGTTGGTGGTACCACTGACTTTGAGGTATCTGTGTTGTTGGTGGTACCACTGACTTTGAGGTATCTGTGTTGTTGGTGGTGTTGGTGGTACCACTGACTTTGAGGTATCTGTGTTGTTGGTGGTACCGCTGACTTTGAGGTATCTGTGTTGTTGGTGGTACCACTGACTTTGAGGTATCTGTGTTGTTGGTGGTACCACTGACTTTGAGGTATCTGTGTTGTTAGTGGTACCACTGACTTTGAGGTATCTGTGTTGTTGGTGGTACCACTGACTTTGAGGTATCTGTGTTGTTGTGGTACCACTGACTTTGAAGTATCTGTGTTGTTGGTGGTACCACTGACTTTGAGGTATCTGTGTTGTTGGTGGTACCACTGACTTTGAGGTATCTGTGTTGTTGGTGGTACCACTGACTTTGAGGTATCTGTGTTGTTGGTGGTACCACTGACTTTGAGGTATCTGTGTTGTTGGTGGTACCACTGACTTTGAGGTATCTGTGTTGTTGGTGGTGTTGGTGGTACCACTGACTTTGAGGTATCAGTGTTGTTGGTGTTACCACTGACTTTGAGGTATCTGTGTTGTTGGTGGTACCACTGACTTTGAGGTATCTGTGTTGTTGGTGGTACCACTGACTTTGAGGTATCTGTGTTGTTGGTGGTACCCCTTACATTATGGCGTCCTTATTGCTTGGGTAACACTGACTTCTAGTTATCCTTATGAGGAGTGGTACCCTTAATGATTGCATATTACTATCCTCTGTGGATTACTACATTTACTGGCAAACTGTCTGAGAGACACAATTTGCTGAATAAAATATACTGTGTGTAAAATGATTGTTTCTCATTCTTGTTTCACTTCTATTAACTTGAAAATGCAAATGACAAAACTTTTGACCTAAGCAGTCTCAGCCATTAAGTCAGGATCTACAGCACCCAGTTTGCCAAGCCAAAGAATATACGGTATATAAACCATAACAAGTCCTTTTCCTTTACTTTTAAAGTAATTTCAGCTTAACAAAACCAAGTGAGTGATACAGGCACTATGAGCCTCTTGCTTTTGCTTATTAGGTCATCTGACCTGAAGGGTTGAGATTAACTATAGCCATCGTGCTTCTTCCGTCGTCGTGCGCCGTTTTTCATTCATGCTTTTCATAGCATGCTGGCATGGAGCCCTACAAAGTTTGTTCAAATTAATGACCTTGACTCACTTTCAAGGTCACAGGGGTCAAATATGTTGAAATTTTTAAACAACTTCTTCTCAACAACCAAAAGGCTCAGAATGCTGATATTGGGTCTGTAGCATGCTGGGATGAAGGGCTACCAAGTTTGTTCAAATGAATGACCTTGACCCACTTTCAAGGTCACAGGGGTCAAATATATTAGAATATACAAATGACTTCTTCTCAATAAGCAAAAGTCCAAGAGTGCTGATAATGGGCCTGTAGGATGCTGGGATGACATGCTACCAAGTTTGTTCAAAGGAATGACCTCGACCCACTTTCTAGGTCACAGGGGTTAAATATGTTAAAATATGCAAATGACTTCTCTTGAATAAGCAAAATTCCAAGAGTGCTGATAATGGGCCTGTAGGATGCTGGGATGACATGCTACCAAATTTGTTCAAATGAATGACCTTGACCCACTTTCAAGGTCACAGGGGTTAAATATGTTAAAATATGCAAATGACTTCTCAATAACCAAAATGATTAGAGTGCTGATATTGGGTCTGTAGGATGCTTTGAGGAAGTGTTACCAAATGTGTTCAAGTGAAAGACCTTGACCCACTTTCAAGATCACAGGATTCAAATATGTTAAAATCTGTAAACGACTTCTCAGTAACCAAAAAGCTCAGAGTGCTGATATTGGGCCTGTATGATGCTGGGAGGAAGGGCTACCAAGTTTATTCAAATGAATAAAGCCCACTCTTTTAACAGCAGACTCACTGTTGTTAGAGTTTGGCTTGCTTTTTGTCAGATGACCGTTAAGGCCCATGGGCCCCTTGATATATTCAACTAGAAACATGTTAAATAGCTGGAATGACTTCAGATATCAATCATTGTAGTAGTCATTTGTTGTACAATTATGTTAGTTACTGAACTTATTTCAGGGAGATCCCTTGATATATAATGCCAATAGGATATCGCATGTAAAAACTTGAAATTTCAAAATCCAAAATGGCTGTGGTCAGCCATCTTGAAAACTGGATCTCATTTAAAACAAACGAGTGCATACCAATTATGTTGGAGTAAGATCCCGTCAGGAGTAATGGAGTTACAGAAATCATTAACAGCAAACGCCAGTCATTGAAAAGCAATTGATATAAATATCCTATTTTATCACAACAAAAGTATTCTAACTTGTATTACTTATGGGTAATGTAATTCAATGAATTAAAATATTGTTTAAAGTAAATACCAAAATGGGTACTGGCAGTCATCTTAACATCCAGATAAGAATTCGTAATCCACGACTACAACTAATTATATTGCTGGAGTTAAAAGTTGTATGAATATCCCTTCAGCATTTTAGGAGAAAAATAAATCACAAAGTCATCAGGTTGAAATCAGAAATGTCCCTTAGCAGCCATCCTTAACAACTAGATTATACTCAAACATGGTACAAACAACCAATATCTACTAAGTGGAGTTTTGGATCTCTATATTTCTAGTGAAATAGTGATCACAAAAACTAACAGATGGACCCCCGACCTTATGATTATGGTGCTTTTTTCCAGGAAGGCAAGCTGGTCTGATCTAGTTTGTTTTGTTCCTTGGTCAAGACATTTACACTTGATCTTAATTGGTTTGGTTGGCATGCGATGGGTCTCCCATATGTAAAGTGAGGTACAGTTCTCATCAGCTACTGAAAGGAAACCCTGGCTTAAGATGACCCTGGTTATTGACAAGGCAATAAATCAAGCAAGCAAGCAACTGATGTTTCCTAAGTCTATCACTGATATATAACAACAAACACATGTACAGTTTGATGTTTCCTAAGTGTAACACTGATATATAACAACAAACACATGTACAGTTTGATGTTTCCTAAGTGTAACACTGATATATAACAACAAACACATGTACAGTTTGATGTTTCCTAAGTGTATATAACAACAAACACATGTACACTGATATATAACAACAAACACATGTACAGTTTGATGTTTCCTAAGTCTATCACTGATATATAACAACAAACACATGTACAGTTTGATGTTTCCTAAGTCTATCACTGATATATAACAACAAACACATGTACAGTTTGATGTTTCCTAAGTGTAACACTGATATATAACAACAAACACATGTACAGTTTGATGTTTCCTAAGTGTAACACTGATATATAACAACAAACACATGTACAGTTTGATGTTTCCTAAGTGTAACACTGATATATAACAACAAACACATGTACAGTTTGATGTTTCCTAAGTCTATCACTGATATATAACAACAAACACATGTACAATTTGATGTTTCCTAAGTGTAACACTGATATATAACAACAAACACATGTACAATTTGATGTTTCCTAAGTCTATCACTGATATATAACAACAAACACATGTACAGTTTGATGTTTCCTAAGTCTATCACTGATATATAACAACAAACACATGTACAGTTTGATATTTCCTAAGTGTAACACTGATATATAACAACAAACACATGTACAGTTTGATGTTTCCTAAGTCTATCACTGATATATAACAACAAACACATGTACAGTTTGATGTTTCCTAAGTGTAACACTGATATATAACAACAAACACATGTACAGTTTGATGTTTCCAAACACATAAGTGTAACACTGATATATAACAACAAACACATGTACAGTTTGATGTTTCCTAAGTGTAACACTGATATATAACAACAAACACATGTACAGTTTGATGTTTCCTAAGTCTATCACTGATATATAACAACAAACACATGTACAGTTTGATGTTTCCTAAGTCTATCACTGATATATAACAACAAACACATGTACAGTTTGATGTTTCCTAAGTGTAACACTGATATATAACAACAAACACATGTACAGTTTGATGTTTCCTAAGTGTAACACTGATATATAACAACAAACACATGTACAGTTTGATGTTTCCTAAGTGTAACACTGATATATAACAACAAACACATGTACAGTTTGATGTTTCCTAAGTCTATCACTGATATATAACAACAAACACATGTACAGTTTGATGTTTCCTAAGTGTAACACTGATATATAACAACAAACACATGTACAGTTTGATATTTCCTAAGTGTAACACTGATATATAACAACAAACACATGTACAGTTTGATGTTTCCTAAGTGTAACACTGATATATAACAACAAACACATGTACAGTTTGATGTTTCCTAAGTGTAACACTGATATATAACAACAAACACATGTACAGTTTAATGTTTCCTAAGTCTATCACTGATATATAACAACAAACACATGTACAGTTTGATGTTTCCTAAGTGTAACACTGATATATAACAACAAACACATGTACAATTTGATGTTTCCTAAGTCTATCACTGATATATAACAACAAACACATGTACAGTTTGATGTTTCCTAAGTGTAACACTGATATATAACAACAAACACATGTACAATTTGATGTTTCCTAAGTGTAACACTGATATATAACAACAAACACATGTACATTTTAGTGTTTCCTAAGTCTATCACTGATATAAAAACAACAAACACAGGAGATTTCTTTTACTTTTTTATGATTTCAGTCCTTGTCTGGACATCATTCACTGAGATGAAATTTTCAAAACATCAAGAATCTATAACAGAGAAAACTGAATGATTGACCTGATATAAGTTGAACACATTCAAAATATCTTCATTGTCTTTTGAGTATGTAGCAAGGTATGTACACAAAATAATTTTATCCTTACATCTAGCTATTAATAGACACATTTTTATAGTTGTCTACCGTTGTCTTCAATGTCTTGGGAAACAGTTATTTCCGCTAAATGACCTCTACATGGTGTCAAATAAACTCTGCCAAGAGGACTCGCAGAGCACCCTGCTCTACACTCAATTAGATAAAAATTTATTTTTTTCAACAATTTTTTTTTATATAAATTTTCCCAAGAACAAAATAATAAAATTTTTTTAGAGCTAATAATAATTTTCTGGAAAATGTTCAACTACAGATAAAGTGAAACAGAATCCTACAGGTTAAAGGAGAGTGGTTTAGCAAAACTGTAATCACAATGTAAACGTGATAGCGTTATAGTGTAGAAATTGTTGAAGTCCAGTTCCGACATATATTGGTTGTGTGTAAACAGGTGCTAGCTTTCTAAACTCAAATCTAATATGACGTGAAGATTTTTATATTTAAGTTATCTGAATGATATGTCAGAGACATCTTTGTAATAGTTGCATTTCAAAATCGAATCATATTAAAAATTTACTCTAGACTTTAAATACTTTTTGATACATAAATATTCAGGTATTAAGATCAATGAATTTTTTGCAAAATCAAATTTTAATTTGACAATGATAAAGTTTTTGGTAATCATTAGCATGTTAACATTTATGAATTCAATTTTTTTTTCAAAATTGCACAAACTGCAAAAAATTAATTTCAAAGCAAGTCATGTTCTTTAACATCTGTTGGATTTTGTTTGCAGATACACAGGATTATTCATTAGTGCATGTACTCCCTTAACATAATAATTAACCAGCACTTGCTAATATTAAAATTCCCCCTGGAAGGTAAAATCTCGATCACATAAAATTCCTTAAAATGTGAAAAAGCAAATGGTAAACTAATTAATTTGGATTTGAACACAATAACATGTTTGTAT